ATCTCTTAAGTATCTGGACGCATTCAGATATTTCCTAATATGTTGTCTATAAATATCACGTTTGTTATCAAGCTCTCTATCTGATATTTAGTTTAGTTCACCCAGTTGTTATTTATGAGTAGGCCTATTTGAATATATTTTGTTTTTGTTGTTACTGATGTTTTTGGGATTGAGTCTGCCTGTTTATCTGTCTATCTATCTACATTTCTGTCTATTTCACTTTCTCTTTCTCCCCGTTATCCCATCCTTTTTTTTATTTCTCTCTTCGCCCTTTCCTTATTCCTCTCTCTCTATCTTTTTCTAACCCCGTTCCTCCTTCTCCTTCTCTCCCTTTCGCCCTCCTCTCCTCCCCTACGCTCTCTCTTCCTCCTTTTTTTACCTTTCTCTATTCACTCTCCTCTCCTTTCTCTATTACTTTCACTCCCTCTTATCCCTTTCTCATTCCCTCACCCACTCCATTTCTCCCTCACCTCGCCTTCCTTCCTTCATCCCTTCCTTACTCCGTCTCATCTCCATCCCTCCCTCTTTCCCTCCTTCCCTCTTTCCCTCCCCCCTTCTTTCCCATATTCCCTCCCTCCCTTCCTCCCTCCCTCTCTCCTTCTATCACTCCCTCCCTCCCTCCCCTCTCCCCGCCCATCCCTTCCTCCCTCCTTCCCTTCTGCCCTCCCCTCCCCTCCCTTCCTTCCTTCCTTCCCTCCCTCCCTCCCTCCCCCTCCCTCCCCTCCCCTCCCTCCCTTCCCTCCCTCCCTCCCTCCTTCCTTGACTCCCTCCCTCCCTCCCTTTATACTTACCTCTCACCTTCCCCTTCTTCATCTTTCTTTCTTTCTCCCTTTTCTTTCATTTTCCGTTGCAGTGACGTCACGATTGCTCCCTTCATTAATCTGCAAAATAACGACATGAAAAATTATACAAGTAATGAATGCTTATAAGAAATCACTAAACAAAACATATATATTAAGAATACCAAGAATTTAAGATAATAATAATAATAATAACAATAATTATAATGATAATAATAATGATAACAATAATAATAATATTAATGATAATAATCATAATAATAATAATAATAATAATAATAATAATAATAATAATAATAATAATAATAATAACAATATTAATAATAAAAATAATAACAATAATAATAACTGACCTGCTTCACGCCCTCGGTAACACGCCCACCGAGAAGGCTGACGGAGACGCCCAGCGATCTTCTCCTGGCGGGGGGGCGGCTGACATCCGGGCTGACATCCTCCATCTCTTACGAAAAAACAATAATTCTGTCTATTAGTTTGAGGTTGAGTAGGGGTTGTTTTAACGGGGTTTTGCATCTGGCTTCATTGTTGCTGTTAAATTTTAATGAATATTATTAGTTGTTATTGTTGTTCAAGTTGATGTTATCATTATCAGTGGCTTTAACATTATCATCTGTTGTTGTTGTTATTATTATCATTTTCATTATTATTACTATTGTTTCTACTGTTATTATTACTATTACTTTTACTTTTATCAAGATATCAATATCATTATGATTATTATCATTACTGCTACTATTATTATTATCGCTATATTATTATTATTATTATTATTATTATTATTATTATTATTATTATTATTATTATTATCATTATTATTATTATTATTGATTATTATTATTATTATTATTATTATTATTATTATTATTATTATTATTATTATTATTATTGATTATTATTATTGTTGATTATTATTATCATTGTTATTATTATAATCCTTATAACCATTATAGTTATAAACATTATAATATAATAATTAGTCATTACTATTGATATCATTATCATCATGATTATTATCATTACTCTCATTATCAATTTAAGAGATTATCATCATAATCAGTACTATTTATCACAATAGCAATTATCAGTATTATTTAGTCATTATTATTGTAATTATTTACCGAAGTAAAAAATAATAATAAAATAAAATATATAATAGAAAAAAATAAAAGAAAAATATACCGATGCATTTTTTGCCCCCTTTTACCTCACTCCCCCCTACCCCATACCCACCCCCACCCTCATACCCCATCCCCCTACCACCATACCCCATGCCATGCCCACTCCCCCACCCCCCTCTTCCACCCACTTCCCAACTACGTCTATTAAATAATCAACATTAATAATGATAATAATAATAATTATAGTAATAATAATGATAGTAATAACAATAATAATAACAGTAATAATAACAATAATAATAATAATAATAATGATAATAATAATGATAATAATAATAATAATAATAATAATAATAATAGTAACAACAATAATATAGGCCTATAGACGCGGAAATTTGAATGACCTATAAACATAATATCAAAGATTCGATTAAAAAAAAAATAAAAAAAAAAAAATAATAGACCTATCTATTAAATACCAATCCATCACTCTGCTCACGAACCGTTAGGAAAACCGTTCGTATCAAATTAAGTCTCATTCTCAAAGAGATAGATATGTCTTAATGAACAGATAGATGAGTAATTGCATATATTAACGATTGAATATATAAGTATGCAAGTCACCTTCTCTTTATTAATCCTCAATATTTGCTTGTTCGCGTTACGTGTATACATACATACATACATACATACATATATATATATATATATATATATATATATATATATATATATATATATATATATATATATATATATATGAGAGAAAGAGGGAGGGAGGGAGGGAGGGAGGGAGGGAGGGAGGGAGGGAGGGAGGGAGGGAGGGAGGGAGGGAGGGAGGGAGGGAGAGAGAGAGAGAGAGAGAGAGAGAGAGAGAGAGAGAGAGAGAGAGAGAGAGAGAGAGAGAGAAGAGAAAGAGAAAGAGAAAGAGAAAGAGAGAGAAAGAGAGAGAGAGAGAGAAGAGAGAGAGAGAGAGAGAGAGAGAGAGAGAGAGAGAGAGAGAGAGAGAGAGAGAGAGAGAGAGAGAGAGAGAGAGAGAGAGAAAAGAGAGAGAGAGAGCACTACACAACGTTTGGTAAAAATAATCCTACTAAAACAATACTTTTGTTTTTAATAGATCAGAATTAACACATTTCTTACGAACTTTTTCCTAAAAGTTTTTCTTACCCTACTTATTTAAATATTTAAATATTATTAGCTTTATAATTTGCTAGGCGTCTGGTTTAATGTGCAATCAATTCTCATTCAACATTCATGCAGTTTTTTTTAGCTACGTGCTGTGTCGTCATTTTTCTGAGGGGGGGGGGGAGAGGGAAGGAGATAGGGGGGGGGATTTTTGGGTTATTAAATTTTCTCTTTTTTTTCGACACATTCTCGTTTTTTTTTCTCTTTCTCTCGCTCTTCTCACATTTTCCTTCCTTTTTTTCTCTCCTCCCTCCCTTTCTCTGTTCCATCTCTCTTATCCCTTCGTTTCATCTATCATCCTTCTGCGTTTCTTCTTCTTCTGTTTCGTCTTCCGTCTCCTCTTTTATCAGCATATCTCTCTCTCCCTCTTTCCTTCCCTTATTCTTATCTTCCCTTTTCCTTCTTCTTCAATTTATTTGCCTTTTTTCTCCACTTACGTTCTTCTCTTTATTTCTTTTTTACTTCTATCATCGTTCAACCTTTTCTTCTCTTATTTTTCTTTGCCTCGTTTCTACTCATTTACCCTCTTTCTCTTCCCTTTCTCATTCACATTTCCTTTGTTCATTGCCTCTTCCTCTCCTCTTCCCATTTCTTCCATCTCCCTCGTTTATTCTCCTCTTTGTTTCCTCATCTCCTCGTGTATTTCCTTTATTCCCCATTCTTTGCTATCTCCTAATTACTACCTTCTTTCACACGCCCCCTTTTCTTATCATCTCTCCCTTCTTCCTTTACATCTCCGTTCATTACCTTTTTTCTCTTACTCTCTTTTGAGTCTACGTTCACCATCTTCTTCCTCTCTTCCTCTTTGCCATCGTTAATTCCCTCTTCCACTCCCCTCCCCCCTTTTCATTTGCATCTTCGTTCACTAATTCCCTCTTCCTCTCTCTTATTACTTTTCATCCCATTCGTTTTTTTCCCTCGCCCTCTCTCTCTCTTATTTCATCACATTCTCTCCCTTCGTTTATTATTCTATTTTTCTGTTAGCCTTTTTTAATTCATATTCTTTGTTTTCTTAACCCTCTCGCTCTCCCCATTTTATTCATATCTTCGTTTATTGCTCTCTCTCCCTCTTCCCTATTCATAGACAACCCCACTCTTCTCATTTATATTCAGATCTTCGTTTATTACCCTCTTCCTCTTCCCCTTTCTTACGTATTTCCATTTCCCACCGTCTTTCAGAATCTGAACTCGATCTTCCCCCAATATTTCCTTGCATTCCGTTCACCTTCATTAATAACACGAAAGACTCAGACCTAATTAATTTCACGGGAGATTTAAAGTGACTCTATATCCATCTCATGAATAGCCAATATCCACATTTATGATTCATTTACGATAAAGTTTGTGAAAGAAAACCTCGAGATGGGTTTTAATATCCGCGTGAATCCGTTACTTGCACGAACGGCGTCTGAATACATGACTTGTTATATTCTATTTTTCTTATTCACTTCATTTATTCTTTTGGTTTTATAAAAAAGTTTGTTGTAGATTGGAGTTAAGATTCATTATTTTCTTTACAAGTATCTGGTCTTGACATTTTGTTTTAATTTTGGAAGTTGGGATTTGTATAAGTATATTTATAAGGCACCACTTCTAAACTTGGGGTTTCAAAATATCAAAGCTGGGGTTTAATTTTTAAAAGATTATAAACAAATTATAAAGAACCTCTTATTCATATTAAATCTTATCATCTTGTAATATTTCTTTTTGTAGACTGAGTTAAAATTCAAAGGAATTTCCCATCAATTTCACTGACTTCTTCAGTTCCCCAAAATCATCAAATAATTAAAGTTTTTTTTCCCTCCTCCTCCTCCCCCCCCATCCCTCCCCCTTCCCCCATGCACCACCCCCACAGAAGTATGGACATAAAGTACGAACATAAATTAAAATGATCATTTATTTATGGAAAATCTTTGTTTTACAGTTTTATATCTCCGCTCAGGAAGCACATAGCATTTTGAAAAGGAAAGATCACATTCCATAATATTATCTCCTATTTCCTCAGGTACGACTTCTTTTTTTTCTTCTAATATTTATTTGATAACAATCTCATACGTACATCTTGCATATTGATGACGAAGAAGACAAAAAAAAAGACAAACAATCAATCTTGTAGTCACTTTTAAATGACGTCCTCGTTCGATTTCATCTCCTTTCAACTTTTTAAAATCTTCTCCGATTTTAAATTTATGACTTTCATCTTCACCTCAGTCACATCAATCCATATATATATATATATACTTTCATTTCTTTATTATTATTTTTTTTTACTCTTCATTTTATTTATCTTAACAAATACTCTGCTTTTTTATTAAAAAAATAAACACGTAGGCTAGATCATGGGAACTTTGTACTCGTTGCCAGGAATTCTGCAATCGATCTCAAGAAGCTGCTCAGCCCTTTTCGTGGCCTTTGCAATCTCGAGAGCGTCTCAAAAGTCAGAATTCTAGCCTTAAAGTGTCTCGCAGCCATCAACAGGATATGTTGAAATAAATAAAAAAAAATATATATGAATAAATATAAATAAAGGTATAGCAACATCACAAATACAGTTATGAAGAATGTATCAAGTCATAAGTTTAGGAGATAATCATAAATAACATCAATGAAGAAATAAACAAATCAGGTCTGACAACATCAAAAATACAGCAATGAAGAATTGATCAATCAGAGAATAAAGAGATAACCGTAAATAACATGAATTTAAAAAAATCGATGAATGAAAAAAGACAATCGCGCACATGCCCCGCCCATTTCACGCTTAGCCAGTCGCTGATTGGTGGAATCCACATTTCAACTAACCAATAAGACGTGAGCAGGAAAGTTCATAATGTACAATAAAACAAAACCAAAGACAATGTCACAAGAATGAAGATAATCACAAGCTTAATAATAATAATAATAATAATAATTGTAATAATAATAATAGTGATAATAATAATAATGATAATAATAGCAATAATAATAATAATAATGATAATAGGTAAAATTAATTACAAATACAGAAAAGGAATATAATAGTAAACAAACTGATAATGATGATAAATAGTATTACAATAACAATAATAATAATAGTAATGACAATACAAGAAATATGCTGATCCTTACTTAATGCTCCATGTCATTTCTCTTAAAGTTTACACAAATGCCAAGAAAAATATACCCATTTGGTATCACTGTATATGGATCAAACTTGCACGTAAGAGAGTAACCAAAAGTACAGAGGTGTAACGTGATTTCAAGGGCGCCAAAAAAGCACATCATTATTGGCTAGGACATAAAAAAATACCATTTTATATCCTAAGCACAAGTCACAGCCAAGAAACGAACGCCCAACCATGACAGAAAAAAAAACGAAAAAAAAACACAAAATGAGAAAATACTATGTATATATATATAAATCTCGTTTTTTAATAATATATATATCCATCTATATATATATTCTTTTTTTTTAATATCCTGTTAGCTTGGCCTATATCTTTCCTCTTCACGAAAAAAAATATATATAAAGTTGGTTCAAATCCACAGGAAAAAAACTCGCATTTGGGAAGTACCAGCATCGCATTAAAGAACCGATGCTCAATACCAATACCCGCAAGTGGCAAGTTCTTTAAGAATTTGGCCCATGACTAGCTTCTAGATATGTCCGCAAGAGATCCAACAGTATAAAGTGAGCACGCAATTCTCCTCATCCTTATGAACATAACAAAAAAAAAGAGAAAAAAACGAAAACTAAGAAATATACAAGTCAAACTAATAAATAAAATAATACAGAATGTTAATACACAATTCCGCCTCTTCCTTGAATGAATTGTAGAGAAAAATATATTCTCTTCTGACTTTTAACGAGTAACTAAGAAAAAATACGGATCTTGACAGTTTCGATTTTCTTAAAAATTTAAATCTTTTTGTTTGTGACAAAAGAAATTCGACATGACAGAATGCAAAGTTGAGGGAACAAAATTATATCCATATATTCACGTGTAACTAAATGAAATAACGAATGAAGTTAACACAAATAAGAAAACAAAAAAACAAAAAATTAGGCGAAAGTTGAAATAACAAAAGCAATATCGGGTCTTCACGGGCGGACTGGTATCTGGAAACTAGCGGTGTCTGGCAACTTTTACACACACACACACACACACACACACAAACAGACACATATCTCGTGTACGTTAATTCACAAAATAAAAAAAAAATCAATAAATAAAAAATAATAATAAGTAAAACAAACACTGGTGTAAACCTCCTTCTGACACTTCGTACATACAATATCTCCGTAAAGAATAAAGACACAAAAGAGAAGAAAATGAAGACAAGAAAATAATAATAATAATAATAATGATAACCTTCACACTTTCATCATCATCATCATCCATAAACAATAAAAGAGATCGACTTTGTAAATCCTTAAGAACTATTATAATAAACTTTGTCCGCCGCTGAGGGCAATGTCACAAGAAATAGACACATGGGCCAGGTCGAAGCCAAAAAAAAGTTCACGGGTGTCACTTCTGCAGGAGGGGGTGGGGTGGTGGGTGGGGGGGAAGGGGGAAGGGGGCGGAGGGGTTCACGTGAGTGTTCGACGCCCACCCTCTCCTCTCCTCTCTCTCTCTTCTCTCTTCACTTCCCTTCGCTTTCATCATCATCATCATCACCACCTTCACCATCACCTGCACAGCCACGAGCACTCACTATTTTCTTTCTCTCTCTCTCTCTCTCTCTATCTTTCTCGCTTCTTCTCGACCTTCTGCAGAATCACTTCTTGCACTCGCTCTCTCGAGGGATAGCCGAAGGCGGAGTGGGGGGGTGGCGGGAGCCTTCCGACGTGCCGCCCCCCCCGCCCCCCGCTGACACCGCGACTTGAGGCGGCCGCCGCCCAGACACCATGCGCTTCCTTTGCCTTACACAGTTTAAGATCACAGCTCGAGTGCGTGGGCGCGAGCGCCACAGTGCTTAAGAGTACGTCACCTCTACGTCGCGGTGGTGCTCGAGACCTCGGCCTCGACCCCGCCGCCCTCCGCGGATCTGCTGGCGCTCACCTCGCCCTTGGTCTTGTGGTCGTCCTCGAGCGCGGGCGAGGCGGGCGGCGTGGTGAAGGACGAGGGCTGCGTCGGGAGGGCGGCCTCGCCCCCGTCGGGCAGGGCCTCGGGGGGCGGCAGCCGCGCCTCGCCCGCGCAGGTGTCGGCGGCGGCGGGGCGGACGCTGGTGTCGGGCGCCGCCGCCTCGGGGGCGCCTCTCGAGGGCGACAGACAGGTGGTCGCCTTCGGCCGCTCGTCGTCCTCCATCTCGCTGTCGCTGCTGGAGTCGCTGCTGCTGCTGCTGCTCGAGTCGCTGCTGGAGTCGCCCGACGAGGACGACGACGAGGACGACCTGGCGGACGAGCAGCGCCGCAGCTTGAAGTTCTCCTCCCGCAGGCGGCGATTCTCCGTCTCCAGGCTGCTGATCTCCGACTGGAAGATGGAGATCTTCTCCGCCGTCTCCTCGTCCACCAGCACCTCGCCGGGGCCCACGTCCTCCTCGTCCTCGTCCTCGCCCTCCGCGGCGTCCTGCTCCTGCTGCCGCTGGCGGTGCCGCGCCCGCACGGCGCGAAGCTGCCGCTCCAGCAGGTCCACCTTCTCCTCGAGGGCGAGGTACTCCTGCACCAGCTGCGCCTTCGTCATGGTGTCGAGGCGCTCGGCGTGCACGTCCTCGTAGGCCGTCCAGAACTCGCGCGTGAGGAACTCCTCCTCGTCCTCGGGCGAGGAGTAGAACTCGTCGTAGGCCTGGTCCTCGGAGTCGACGCTCAAGGACGAGTCGCGGTGGCGGCGCGGGCGGGCGGCCACGATGTCCGTGTCCTGCAGCTGGTCGTGCTCCGCCATCAGGAACTGCGTGGTGTTGAGGGGCGCCACGGGCTTGGTCCGCAGGCCGTTGGCGCTGGCCCGCTGCCGCGGCTTCTTCTTCCTCCTGCGGCGCGCCTTCTTGCTCCTCTTGCTGGGCGGCGAGTCGCTCTCGCTCTCGGCCGTGCCCGAGGGGCGCCGCAGGCCCCGGGGCGGCGCGCACAGGCTGGGCAGCGCCACGTTGTCAACACTAGTCAAAGCGACCGAGTCCAACATGTTTACTCTGGGCGAAGGGAACAACACTTCTGCGCTCGCCATCGAGCTCAAGCAACACTCGCCGCTATGTGCAAAGGCAGTAGGGTGATAATTGCTCACTCAAAGTTCGTCGCTGCCAACCGCGTGGATGAAGATTTCTAGTACGTCTGAACGCGGTCATAGCAGCCGAGTGACTGTTTCCAAGATGGTTTCGCTCCCGCAACCACCAGCGGGCGCGATCCGCACTCCTCCGCCCCCGAAACTAGTGTCCGGACAAACCGCCTTTCTAATTGTATTGTCGCGCATACAGCGTATCTAATTTGTATATTTTCATTAATTGCATTGCTTATTCTTATAGATAATGTAAAAATCTGGCCTAAAACCCCCCTATTTACGAAATGTCACAAAACCGCGGAGGAATACCATGACGTCACGCACCTTCCACCCTCAGTGCTGTATCGAGTGAAGGAGAAGCCCGACGCCATTTTGGTGCTGTGGCAAAATGAGTGCAATTTTAGG